AATTTGTGAAAACTGTCCAGCCGTGGAGGTCCTCATAAAAGGCCAAACAAATTACTGAGAGCATAGGTAGGAATACCTAGAGTAGGACATAGCCAATGAATATCTCCTAATAGTTTTTGTAAGTCATTTAAAGTAGAAATCTGGTCTCTTTTGATTTGAACTTTTTGAGGTCTGATAGACTGTCTATCCACAACAGGACCCAAATACTGTACTGGTGTGGTTGTTTGAATTTTATTTGGAGCAATGTAAAGTCCTGCTAAATCAAGCTGTTTTTTAAGTAATTCAAAACATGCAGCCAGCTGCTCCATTGAGGATGCAGCACAGAGAATGTCATCCATATAATGAATGATTTAACACTCATTAAACTCAGTTCTTACTGGTATAAGAGCTCGAGCTACAAAAAGCTGATGAATGGTTGGACTATTAAGCATTCCCTGTGGAAGTACTTTCCACTGATATCTCCTCATAGGTTCTTTATTGTAAGTTGAGGGAATTGAAAATGCAAATCGAGGGCAATCTTGAGGATGTTAATGGATTGTATTAAAACAATCTTGTAAATAACTATTAAAGGTCAGTATTTTGGAATCATAGAAGGTTGTGGGAGTCCAGGCTGTAACACACCCATGGGTTCTATAACAGCATTTACAGCTCTGAGATCTGTGAGCATTTGCCATTTAAAAAATTTTTTTCTTAATGACAAATACTGGAGAGTTTCAGGGACTAGTAAAAGGTTCAATATGATCTTGTTCTAACTGAGTCTGTACTAATTCTGTTAAGGTCTCCAATTTTTCCTGAGAGAGAGGCCACTGTTCTATCCAGAGAGGCTTACTATTAGCCCATTTAAGAGGTACAGGAGTTCATAGCTCTGCAATAGTGGCCCCTATAAAAAAGGCTTTTGATGGCTTGACTTATAACCTAGTCCTTCTCTTTCCTGCTGAAGCGAGGGCTGAATAGGTGGAGTAATTTCCTGAATACATCTTCCTAACCCTTTTCCTGGCTGATACCCATTTGACTCATCATCTTTTGACTTTGCGGGCTATACTGTCTGGGGGGAATCCAAATTTCTGCCTCCCATTGTGTAAGTAAATCTCGACCCCATAGATTGACTGGAATGTCAGCAGCATAGGGTTGTAAAAATCCTTGTTGACCTTCCGGCCCAATGCAAGGAAGAATGCAAACACTTTGGAGTAAGCCTGAGGCTCTGCCGACTCCAACAATGTTAATGTCAAGTTCCTGTACCTCCCAGCCTTTTGGCCATTCTTGAGAACTGATTATGGAAACATCAGCTCCAGTGTCTAAAAGACCTTTACATTTTTTGCCTTGGATTTCAATTTGACAAACACGACGAATTTCTGAGATCTTTTCTGCCAGAAAAATACCTGCCTGTTCTGTACTTCCAAAACTTCCAGTTCTCCTTTTCTGTGTACCCTTTTTTCCTGGGAGGAAATACAGGAGCAGGAGTAATTGTGCTACCCGTTCTCCTTTTTTAGCTGACCAGGGAACCGTGGAAGACATTATAATTTGAATTTCTCCTTCAAACCTAGCCTGTCGTATGCCTCTCTCCACTGCAGATAGCAATATGCGAGAGCCTCCGGCAGGCAGAGGAGGTGCGTGGGCAGCAGAGAGAAAAGGATTATTGCTTTTGTGTGGTTTTCTGAGAGGTTTCCCTTTCTGCACCGTAAATGAAGGCGGCAGCAGAGGCAGAGACTGAAGTAAAGGAGTAGGGGGTGAATTGTAGTTTTCCAAACAGTCTCCCAAAGTTGGATGTAACGATTTTGGGACACCTGTGGGTACCTCTAAATAATCTTTCTCCCTTTCCTCTGGAGTTTCCTCTCAGTTTTTGTTTTTCTCAGAATTTTCTTTTTGATTTTTACAACCCTGATCATTATCTTCCCCTTCATCTTCCGTGTCAGTTTGCAAAGATTCTAAAACTGATCGGACTAACCTCCACGTATCCCAAATTGTGGCTGGTAACGAAACTCCCTGATGCTGTACCTCACTAAGGTTTCTGCCTACTGCGTCTCATAGCTCTAAGTCCAACCTCCCTAAGTTAGAAAACCAGGAACAATGAGTCTCTACGACCTTTAAAAGTTTCTCCAATTTCTTTTCTGAGACTTTAGTCCCTCCTTTCTTAATAAGCTGCTTCAGTAAGAAGATATAAGGTCTATATTGGCTATTAACATTTCCCATGTTAGTAAAAAGAGAGAAAGGAAAGAGTTTCACTCAAAGTTCACTCAGATGCCCATCTGGCCACATCCCTCCCAGGACTTTAAGGTCTGTCTTGGCTATGGTGCACCCATATGAACCCCGGGTCTGGTTGGCGTTGCCAAGTCACCGTTTTTGCCTTACAACGTAACCACGGAATCGCAGATTAGAGCCCAAAGAAGTTCCATAGCCGAAGCCATGGAACTATAATCAATCACCCACACATTCACACTCTTTCACACAAAAGTTTAGTTAATTTCCCTTTTACCTTGATTTAATTCTCTGGGATCTTCCCTACCTCCTTGTCCGGTAGTTGTCTTGACGCCTCCCAGGCCCTTTGCCGTGAAACCGTCTTTTTTAGACTCTGAGTCTTCCTTCCCTCTTTGTGCCTCCACTTTAGGGTGCCAGATGCCACGTCCCGCGCAGCAAGGGCGGTGGGGCGGGAGAGGGGCGGCGCAGGGTTAAAGAAACAAGAGTCAATTATAGAGTTAAAGCGGCACCCAGGGGCTACAGCCTCTCTGGGACTGAGCACCGAATTGGGCCAACGCGTAGCTTTTACTGAGAAACCTCAAAGAAGTGAAATTTGTTTTTTCCAAAGTCTGTGTGATAAGTGCCTTATGGCTAATTTCCATCAACCAGCCCCATTGTATTCCAACACCTGCTGTGCCTTCATACTCCCACACACTCGCAACCCTCAGGATGGTGCAGCTATACCGTTGTCATGAAAATAGGGAGGTAACCGACATCATTTCATTGGGTCTCAGCTTCCGAAACACTCCCTTGAGGGAGATTTACTGGTATCATTCCACCGGGTCTCAGCATTCTGAGACACTCCCTCATGACCTCATTAGGTCAGGGGTTGGTGTGTGTGGGGGCAGTCGAGGACGAAGCTGTAAGGCAACTCTTGTGGACTTTGTTTTGATGTGGTTTAGGGATGGGAGAAGAGCTGGTGGAGGATGGTCATATTATTTTATAATCCCATGTCATGTTCTTTGTGATGGCTTTATTGAGATAGAATTCATGTACCATACAATTTACCCATCTAAAGTAACATTCATTGGTTTTAGTACCTTCACACAGTTGTGCACCTATCACCACTATAATTCCAGAACATTTTCGTCACCCCAGGAAGAAACCCTGTATCCTTTAGTAATCACCTTCCATTCTCTGCATCCTACCCCCTTGACAATCATTAATTTATTTTCTGTGTATGAATTTGGTTATTCTGGACATTTCATATCAATGGAATCATATAACCTGTGGTCTACATGCCTAATGTTTTCAAGATGCATCCATGTTGCCATGTATATTAGTACTTTATTGCTTTGTATGGCTAAATAATATTCCATTGTATGGATAGACCACATTTTATTTACTCATTCATCAGTTGATTGACATACAGATTGTTTCCACTTTTTGGTTACTATGAATAATGCTGCTGTGAATATTTGTGTATGAATCAATTGATGAATGGATGGATACAATGTAGTATGTCTGTATGTTATAATAATATTGATCTATAAAATGAAATACTGATATTTGCTACAATATGGGTAAACCTTGAAAACAGGCTAAGTGAAAAAAGCTATTTATTGCCTGATTCTATTGATATGAAATGTCTAGAATAGGTAAATACATAGTGAAAGAAGGTAAATTAATTGTTGCCAGGGCCTGGGCATAGGGAGGGGGGTGGGGAGTGACTATTTAAGGGTACAGGGTTTCTTTTTGGGGTGATGAAAATGTTCTAAAGTTTATTGTGTTGATGGTTTCACAACTTTGTGAATATACTAAAAAATACTGAATTTCACACTTTACAGGGGTGAATTCTATTATTTAAAAATAATTTGTCATGACCATCATTAAATACATACCAGTTGCTTATTCCCAGTCAGTACTCTGCGAGCCACCATGGCATGAATAAGAAACAAAGTACTTGTTCCCTGTCCTCTAGGAATTTCAATGAAAATGGGAAGATGAAGTGGAGATCCATAAAGTTATATCAAGATGATGCATCACTCAATGCTCATTTCTGGGTACAGGCCACACTCAGAAAGATCTCAACACCTCTGGGAAGATGTAGGACTTCAGAAAGATTTCAAAATGTGGACTGCTCCAATATTTATGTAACTTAGACATGATACTATGCGTCCCTTACAATACTGTGAGTCACCTGTGGGCATTTTGATTCCCTTGCTTAGCATGGTGTCCGTTCCACAGGCAGAAGGAGTATGTGTTTGGTGATTGAATGAATAAGTGCTCTTTGGAAGCCTCCTGGTTTGTTCCTGGGACAAAAATGCCTTCAGGCTTGTGGCTCCTGGCTCTGATCAGCCCAGGGGTTGGCCCTGTGGGGAAGGTGTTGCCGAATTCACTGTTTTAATGTAAAGGTTTCTTCACTCATAACTGGTAACTATTTTGTTTCTCAGGTGCTTTCATTATGATTTTGGTTGAAATGGTGACCTGGAACAATATGTGGGTGCTTCTGGAGTGTTGTTCTTTCTTCCCTGGTAATACACCCAAGATTCTCTGGATCAGGGAAATTTAGGAGAAGATAAAAGGTGGAATCAACCTCACATTTATTTTTAAATCACATGTATCAAGCATCAATGCTTTGGATTCTGTGTTGCTTATGAGTCTTTGCTGTAATGAGAAATTGTTTTTCTTTTTCTTTTTTTTTTTTCTCTGTGAAGGTACTTTATGTTGATTAAGTTCTTTCTGTTAGATATCCTTTGCTTGCACTGGACTTTTCTTTGTGTTGATCTTTTGCTTCATTTTTTTTCATTTCCCATGCTATTCAGCTACTGGATGCCAGAAGGACCAAGGTTTGTCCCCTCTTTGCAGCCCGTTTGTTTTGCCCTGCACAGCCTCCTCCCCTTCTCCTGTGTTTCAGTGTGTGTGTCGCTGTCTGTGCTTGTTCCCTTTTGCTTGCAGATGCAGTAATCCTGTTTACTAAACCTGTTCACAGCTTTATTTGTAAAAACAAAGTCCTTGTTTGTGTTAACTTGTGATGGATGCTATTATTGTCATTTTTAAACGAACATGCATTTATCGTGGAAAATAGTGGATAGTAGAATAAAGAACACCTTAGGAAACAAGGAATACTGGGTCTGGAGCATTGTGGGCATAAAGAAGGTGTGTTTGTGAAAGTTTCCTTGTAACCCTTTCCACTTCCTAAATTAAAGCCCTGTAGATATGTAATTTCCCCCATGACTGACACTAATATGTCGTTCCTGTGTATGTGTACATTTATTTTCTCCTAAGACATTCAGAAAGCACCTTTCAATTAATCCCTCCCTCTTCATGTGCTGTCCCATGCTTCTGAAGTCACCCTGGAGGACTGGCCCTGTGGACCTCATGATTAACACCCCATTTTCATAGTGTGGTAGCAGCAGATAGCGCTGGGAGTTTTCATTGACGTTTCCCCTTCTTTCTCCTCTCCTGCTTCGTCCTTCTCATAGCACCTGCAGTTGACAATCCAGGCCCTTCAGGATGAGCTGCGCACCCAGAGAGACCTCAACCACCTTCTACAGCAGGAGAGCGGCAACCGGGGAGCTGAGCACTTCACCATTGAGCTGACGGAGGAGAACTTCCGGCGGCTGCAAGCGGAGCATGACAGGCAGGCGAAGGAGCTCTTCCTGCTGAGGAAGACCTTGGAGGAAATGGAGCTGAGAATCGAAACGCAGAAGCAGACCCTGAATGCTCGGGACGAATCGATTAAAAAGCTCCTGGAGATGTTGCAAAGTAAAGGGTTGCCGTCCAAAAGCCTCGAGGATGACAATGAACGGACGCGGCGGATGGCAGAGGCTGAGTCTCAAGTCAGCCACTTGGAAGTGATTTTAGACCAGAAAGAGAAGGAAAACATACATCTCAGAGAGGTAAGGACATTCACTCTATTGTCCCAAAGCCATATTTTACAAGTTAAAAAATGTTATCAAGTTATTTTCACAGGTTGAAAGATATCTACAGCCTTAATAAAACTCCCTTTGTCATCTGTTTTATAACCTTCCTGTCTGCTTATCAGCTTTGAACTGTAATTTTGCATTAGTTTTCTTTTCCTGCTCACCACACATATGTTCCATTATTATTCAACATGTATTCAGGATCCAAGCATGTGCAGCATATGTCAACTCGAAGGTGGTTTACAGTTGTTTTCCCACAGATGGTCATTGTTTTAGGGCCTTTTAAGTATAGTGCTGTTTAAGTTTTAGGTGTTTACCAAGTATCATCTCTCTAAAGGAGCAAAATGAATAGGCGATTAGTAAAACAATGAACCTGAATATTTTTATAGCTGAATTGGGGGTGGAATTGGCAGAAAGTAAAACATATGGATATTTCTGGAAAGAATGGTAAAATATGAAGGCCAGTTTTGAACGTTGAGGTTTAAGATAATCTTTGTCCATATTTAAATTCGTTTAGGACAGAGTGGTCCATGTTTTCTGAGTATGCATTTTGCACTTAGTGATTAAATCATTTGAAGCCCTTCAGAGGCAGCCTCTCTGGCCTGCCACCACCATTGAATGTTGGGATGCTCATATCTCTGAAAATATATGGTTGGATAGAGCTTAGAAAAAAAATGTGGGTGACAATGGAAGTTTGAATTTTTTACAACAGTCCCTAGCCACTATGGTGGACATGGATCTCAAAAGTACCACGTAAGCAAAATGCTGTGGTGGACACAGGTCTCACGGAAGGTAAGAAACAATACAGTGACACTAAGTGTATTTTCAAAACATGCTACAACAATAAATGAAAATTCCAAGAGATATTTGTTTCCAGACCTAACTAGATTTCCTTGCATTGTGTATCTGCTCAGATGGGCAGCCCTTCTTGTGAGTCACTTGTTGCATTGTTCGGAACAATGGCTTCCTGTTGGGACTGACTAATGCAGATGCTCCCAGGAGTTTTCTCTGATATTGACTGTTTTTGCTTAGAACATGTGAACAGGATTTTGTGTCTTCAGACATAATGTCCTCTGTGCTCATTCTCCCTTGTTTTGTTTTCATGAGATCATAGTGACATGCTTAGGAAACCACATGGCTTAGTTTCATGTTGAGATGCTTAAAGAGGTTTTTTGTTGGGCCTGGTCTTTCCCATCTGTATTTCAAGACAGTCTTCTTAGACATGGGCAGACTTCTAAGATGGCCCCAGTGATCCCTACCTTTTGGAATTCATGCCCTTGTGTAATCCCCTCCCCTTGAGTATAAGCTGAACCTAGTGATTTGCTTCTAAACAATAGAATATGGCAAAAATAATAGGATGCCAATGACACTTCAATGATGAGGTTACATAAGACTGTTACTTCCATCTTGCTAGTAGACTTGATTGACTTCTCCAGTTGCATGCCTTGATGAAGCAGTCTGCCCTGTGGGAGAAGCCCACATGGTAAGGAACTGAGGGCCGTTTCCAGCCAATACCCAGTGAGGAACTGAGACCCTCACTCACATAGCCACGAAGTGCTGAAACTGCCAACAACCACTTAGTGAGTTAGTGAGCTTGGAAGTGGACTCTTCCCCAGTCGAACCTTCAGATGAGATGATAAGCCCTGGGCTGACACCTTGATTGCAGCTTTGTGAGAGACTGTGAAGCGGAGGACCCAGGTAAGCTGTGCCTGGATTCCTGACCCACAGAAGCTGTGAGATAAGAAATGTGTGTTGTTTCAAGCTGCTGAATTTGGGGGTAATTTGGTACATAGGAATAGGTAGCTCCTAGAGTGAAGCAGAAACTGATCTCTTCTTGTCTTACTCCATACACTTTCCATTTAATTTACAGAAGAGAAGCAATAATTATATGTTATCACATGTATGTAGAGTGACTGCAGAGTTTGAAATTTTGGTTATGTTATCTCAAAACTCTGGTTGGTAGATTGCTATAGTTTAAAAAAGCTGATGCTTATTCCGAGTGCCAAGGGGCCATGTTGCATGTACAACAAGGTTGTGATGCCAGAGAAACCTCCATCCGCAGCACTGACCTTTACTCTATGTTGGGATGTTGTGGTCAGAGTTGAGTCACTCTTCTGCTGTTATTAGATTCTGCTCACTGGTGGCACTTAATAGTTGATGACTTGATTCTATTGTGTGGATACCTCCATTTAAAAGAATCTAAACACAATTTAACTTGTGTTTTATGAGATTAGCTGGTCCTCAGTGGTCTGGCATGGACATATATCATGTTTAGAACCTTAATCATCAGCCTAAGAGCCCAGCACATCCAACCAGTTTCCTTGAGTATCAGACCAAAGTCAACGGGTAGCCCTTTTCTTGGCTCATCAAGAAGGGAGAATGTGGAAGAAGTGTCTTTATATAAAAGTCTCATTTTAAACTTGAACTCAACAAACAAGATTTGGAGGCTTGAAAGGACCCTTCTCAAGAGAAGGATTGTACTGGCTTGTGAGAGCCATTTGTTAACATTTTCAGGAATTTTGTGAGCCTGCTTTTAAACCATTGATAGTTTGAAATTGGTCAAGGTGGGAGTATTTGCACCATGGCAGTCAGCAAAATGCTACTCTCAGGGCCTATCCAACCCAGTCCCCCCCACACACACCCTACCCCCCGCTCCACCCCATCCCTGAAAGCTCCTTTACCAACATATCTCTAAATAAATGCTGTGAAATGTTTACGCACAATACAGCAAGAAGAGGCAAGTTAAATGGTGTAAGAATTATGAGTATATTCACCGCTTAATCATCAAAGTTTTCATAACAGTGTCTTGATTGACACTTATGTGTCAGACATTATAAAGAATGCTTTACATTGATTCATATTTAATTTTCAAAGTTCTCTCATTTATTCATTCATTCACCCATTGAATGAATACTTATTGAGAATCTGTTTTGGTATAGAGCAGTGATAACTGATGAAGTTTGACTTCATGGGCTTGTAATCTATTGGGGTGAAACAATTTAATAGTTAAATAGAGAAGTCTCATGAAGTAAAAAAGAGGATAAAAAACTAGTGACTTGGGTGAGGCCATCTTCACATTGGATGGTCAGGAAAAGCCTCTGGGAGGGTGTGACATTGGGAACTGAGATCTAAATGACATAAAGGAAACTGCCATGTGAGGGTTCCCCCTCAGAAGACTGTCCCAGTCATATGGAAAGACCCACACCAAGGAGGTAGGTGCTATTATTTTGTCCATTTTCCTTAGGGGAACTGAGGGACAAATAACATTAAGAAGCTTGCCTGATGTTCCACAGCTTAGAAGTGGTGATGCTGATATTCAAATCAGGCAGACTCCAGAGTCTCAGCTGTTAGACTATTTCATTCTATCCCTTTTCTAGAATAATCCTTCCCAAAATGTGCTCTGCAGAACAGCCATTTTGTGGGATGTTGATCTGTGTTATGAGAGGAAAAGGGCTGCAGGGCCAAATGAATTGAGAAAATGCTGGATTCCAGAGAGTTTACCGCAGGACTCCTTAGACTCTTTAGTATGCAAATGTACCTCAGTCATTTCCAAGAGGGGAGTAGGGAAGTCAGAGCTTCTCAAATTTATTTGACTTGCTTTTCGCTTGTTGCGCTCATGTTATTTGTAAAACACTTTGGAAAAATACTGTGCTAGAAAATGAAAATTGTACTTTTAATTTGTGACATGTAAAATATGTAATACTATACAAATAGTTGTTTCCCATGGCCAAATAACTGGGTAATTTTCTCCATTAGTTATTCTAGAAGGCAAAGTTTGTTGTAAGCTGTTTCTGTATTCTCTGCTTAGTTTTAGAATGTTCTTCTGTCAGGGTAGTTTTAAAAATTTTTTTAGTGGAAAAGTGTGGCTGACTGCTTTTGGTCTGAAACCAGTAAGAATAACCCAGCTCAAGTAAGGAAGTTGCTTGGCCCCTGTTAAATTAAATGAATCTAAAACAGGATTTAAAATGTACTAGAAGGCTTTCAGTTCAGTGTGTTCCTGATTTCATTTTCATTTTGCACAGTTCGACCCTGCTGGAGCTAGATGGCATAATACTGTGGAATGGAGTGCTAGTGGTTTTATGATTCATTCTTAGGCAAAGGTGTTGGATCTCATAAATCCCATCTCCTGGAATACTGGCTTTGTTTAGCCTATTGTTTCAGGAGATTTTGAGTTGGCAGGATTGCACATGGGGAGGGTTGGGTTGCTTTAGTGTCTTGTCTTTTGGTGGTCTGGAAAAGGCTGAGGGTAAAACCACATCTTTGCCTGGCAGGAAACAACAACAGAAAGATTATGATCTCAACTTACTTGGAAGACCAAAATGATTGCCCAAGAACTACAACTGACATGCTAATGTGAGCCGAAGGGTTGGCTGAAATGCAACATTACTCACTGGTGTCTTCTGATGCTTTTGGATACAGGTTGATAGGATAAGACATTGTTTGATGTAGAAATAGTTTACCTTGTTCTCTATCTAGCTTTTTCTGCAAAGAACATACTGTTCCATGTAAAGGTTTAGTAATCAAGTATCCAATATACTACTGATCTCATTAAACAAAAAGTAAGTTTATATACCGGGATCCTCCTATATTCCCTCTCCTTAATATATATTCTTGGCTGGTCCTTAGAAGAGAGTTTAGGAGTCTTTGGATTCATTGCACTGTAAGATGTTTGAAGGGGAGGGATGTAAGTTCTGCTGCCATGCCTGTTGATTTCCTATGCTAATCCTTTTGAGTAGCTTGCCTTTCATTGGCAGCAAGGGCAGAAGAGCACTCAAATGATGGACAGCTACAACTACTATTAACCCAGGACAGGTCAAGTCCCCAGGAGAGTGGCCCTGAGCTTCCCTCCATGCTGTGTGTGCAGGGGTGGGGGAAGGGGAGCTAGGGATGAGGAGGGAAAGGCAACATGAATTCTTGGTCTCCTTATCTATTTATTCTAGTTGTCCCCAGGCCAGTGGGAGATCCGCCAAGGCAAA